GTTATAGTGGCTCAAGTCACAACAGAAGGAAGCACTGCTGAGTCAGTCCTGTGCCATCCTCATGATTGTTACGCTTGAGCCCATTGCTGCTGCGACTGTGCTAATCCATCTCCTTGGGGGGGTCTTCCTTTTTTCTCTGACCCTCCACTTTACTAAGCATGATGTCTTTCTTTAGGGACTGGTTCCTCCTGATAACATGTCTGAAATATGAGAAATGAAATCTGGCCATCCTAGCTTCTAAGGCTGGCTGTTCTTTTAGCACAGATTTGGAGCAGGGTGGGTCCTAATCCACTCTGAATCGTGTTTCATAAAAAAGTAAAAACGGACATGGAGACATACACGGTGAGATGCCATGTGACAATGGAATGGATACAGAAAGGAATGCTAAGGATTGGAGGCAGTTGACAGGAGATATGGCCAAGTTGAGACTCTGGTTTGGACTCTTAGATATCTGTTCTTTAAAGACACTCAGTTTGTAAGATTTTGTTATGACAGCACCAAGAAACTAAGACACTGAGGAACCCAAATCCTTCCCTCCTGGTGGAAGGGCCCTCCCATTGCCACTGAGTTGATTCTTACTCATTCCAACTCCTAGGGATCCTAGAGCACAGACTAGGAATGCTACGAAGGGTAAATCTTTATAAGAGCAGACAGCCTGCTCTTTCTCCCACAGAGTAGATGGTGATTTTGAACTACTGACCAAACACATAGCTCACAGTGTCACCATGGCACCTTAAAAAATGGAAAGGAGAAGGAAGAACCATTCAGCAAAGACCAAATGGAAGCTATTCAAATATAAGTCAACAACAAACTAACAATGCAGCTCACCAGAAGACCCTTCTCCTTCTCATCCATTCATGGTGTGTTGTGGTACTATCACTCTTCCAGACCTGAGTCACTTTCAAACTTTTCATCTCCCTCTATTGCTTTATCCCACTAATCTTGAAGTTGTTCCACTGTTATCTCCGTAGTAGGTCCTTCATCTGTTCCTTCTATTCCATTCCCACTATCATTGGCTTTGTCCATACCATCTTTGTCTCTCAGCTGCATGATTACAACAGCCTTCTGGATAGTTTTTCATAAGACACTCCTATATAGCGCTACCATATTTATCATTTTGAACATGTCAGTCCCAGATCCAAACCTCATTTCAGTTCTCGTTGTCTTTAGAATAAAGTTGAAATTTCTCATATAGATTATTCAAGGCTTTCATTATCTGGCAGAGAATAAAAGAGAGAAGGAGAGAAGGAAAAAGCAATTCCTGTATTCGTTTTCCTAGGGCTAAAGTAACAAATTACCACAAACTGGGTTGCTTAAAATGACAAAAATGTACTCATTCTACTCTGAGGCTAGATGTTCAAAATCAAGATGTTGACAAGGCCATATTCCCTCTCAAGGCTTTTCTTAGATTCTGGTGACTGTAGTATTTCTTGGCTTCTAGATGTATTACTCCCATTCCTGCCTCCTGTCTTCACATAGCTTTCTTCTGTTTGTCTCTAAGTCACCCTCTCCCTTCTCTTATGAAGACACCAGTCATTGGATTTAGGGCTCACCCTAATCCAGTATGACCTCATCTTAACATGATGGCATCTGCAAAGTCCCTGTTTCCAACTACAGCCACATTCACAGGTACCAGGGTTTAGGACTTGAATCTGATTTTTTGAAGGGAAGAACACAATTCAATTGACTATAATTCCTATTGATGGAAACTGCTAGAACAATGGCTTAGCATAGGGATGGAATCTCACCTGTGAAAAGGTCCTGGATGAAGTGAAAAATATCAAGAATAGTGGGAGGTAATATTAGACTTAACAAACAAGCAAACAACCCATTGCCGTTGAGTCTATTCGGTTTTACAGCCATCCCATGTGTTACAGACTTTTCAGAAACCGGTTGCCAGGCCTTTCTTCAGCGACACCTCTGGGAGGATTTAAACTGCCACTTTTTCAAATAGTTGTTGTTGTTGTTAAGTACCATTGAATTGGTTCCGACCCATTATGACCCTATATAGGGTTTCTGAGGAGCAGCTGGTGAGCTTGAACCAACAACCTTACACATTAACCTGCAGCGCTAAACCAGTACTCCAGCGATTCCAATAGGGTAGGCCATATTATCAGGAGTTTTTTTTTTTTTTTTTAACAATGGACTAGCATGCAAAATCAAAGGATAAATGTTAATTTAATGAAACTCAATCTGGAAGCTGGACATATGAATGTGCTTCAAAAAGTTTGTGGAGAAATTCCACTATCTTTTTTTTTCTCTCTCATTATTTAGAGACTATTAATTTCTATAATCAAACCCGTGTAGATTAGAGTTTACATATTTAATATAGTGCATTGTTGTCAAGTGCCATCGAGTCAATTGCGACTCATAGGGACCTTGTATAGGGTTTCATAGGAGCAGCTGGTGAGCTTGAATCACCAACCTTGCAGTTAAATGCCTTTGCAATCTGGTGCATTAACCCACAGCGTTACCCCTATATAAATGGAAAAAATAATTAAGTTGAACGTTTCTAGACCAATATGGCTGTTAATTTCTGTACAATGCCAACTGAACATGATACAACTGGGATACTTTTTTCAAAGTTGACAGCACAGCTGAAGTTTCCAAAAATTCAAATTATATCAATATGTATCTATATAAAGACCAATCGCAGTGTTATGTATCAATAGCAGCAACAGCTTTTCCAGGTTCTGCAGTCATCTGAACAAAATTATAGAGAGCACACTCCATTGAAAAAAGAAAGGAAAATTATCTTTTAAATCCATTTTTCCAGGAACTTTCGAAGCCTCACCCCCCCCACCCCCCTAAAAGAGATTATAAGAATAACCCTTAAGGATGTCTCAGTAGTCCAAAGGTGAAGAGATACACTTCGCACTGAACTAGATTGTGTGCCTCTACCCCAGGGGCCTGTTAATTTTGCCTCCTTTGTTCAGTAATATATCCTGAGAGGCTAGATTGTATCTACTGAACAGAAAGCAGTCAGTACACGTTTGGTGAGTCCATGAAAGGATGGACAGACCAGGTTTGCCACAGTAGGAATGGAGAGGAAAGACAAAATGCAACACGCCTTTCACTGGTAGTGGGACCCAACTGGTCTCCCTAAATAGGTGCCTTGGAGTCAGTTCCGACCTTACAACAGAACGAAATACAGATGAGTCCTGTGATGTTCTAACAATTGTTTTACATTTCATCCCATTGTTTTTGTCACGATCTCAATCCATCTCATTGGGGGGGTCTTCCTCTTTTTTGATAACTATCCATTTTACCCGGAAAATATATTGGTGAAGAAGTAGCATCAGATGATCCTTAAAGTCTCGCCTGTTGGAGACAGAACTAACCTCTCTCATACTACTTGACCACCTATACCCTTATATGTGTCTTTATTGCCGTTTATGGTGAACAGAATCCATCGCTTTATTTATGCGTGTATTGTCCACAGCAACCTGCATACAATAGGCCCTCAGTTCAAATTTTAGTGAATGAATATCAATGAATGCATTTCCACATTTCAATAAAACTGTGATCCTCTAGCCCTAAACTCTGGAAATCAGACTTCTTTTGTGCTTTTCAAAACGCATGATACATAGCAAGCGTTCAATAAGCACTTGTTGAACCAAACAGAATAAATCAGATTCGCCCAGTTCCGCCCTGGCAGCAGACTCTATTTGGCAGGACTCCAGAATCCCTTGCTATTAAATTCTTATGTAAGAGTTAATGACCCTCCCAGCCCTCTTGACATCCCTCCCACGACAAGAGAAGTGGAAGGGAAGGGAAGGGCAGCTAGAACACTGTTTACAAATACACAATCTTTCTGTGGCAGATTCATAGATTAATTTCTAGTCTCGGTTCATCATATCGATCTTAAAATACCGCTGCACGCTCAGTGCGCGGCAGAGGGGGCGGTGCGCCGGTATTTCGGTTGAGGCGTATTCAATTCTGTGGGTAAGGCCTGCCCACCTGGCACGGCTATTTGAGTCCTCCATACTGCCCCAAGGGCTGGGCCTGTGGGTGACAGCGGCCCCGGGGGCTTCCCGCAGACCCTCGAGCAGGCTTGGCCGGAGCGCCCCCCACTTGGGAAGACAATGCCTCCCGCCCGGAATTCCAGCTGCCACTGAGCCCCGCGCCTCTCGCCGTTCCCACCCGGTCCAATCTGACGCGTTCTGGGTGGGCGCCGCGCGTGGGCGCGCCCAGCCTTTTCCAGCACAGCTGCGACCCCCCGCCCCAGGGCGCGGGCACCC